GCGACATCTACGTGGAGGGCGGCCTGGTGCCCAGGGAGGTCTTCAAGCTGCGGGAGGCGTGCCGGGGTCTTCGGGGCTAATGGCTTCGGTGAGAGGTCAATCACGATCCGCCGCATAAAAGTCGAAAAGGAGGAACAGTTTGTATTTAATTTGTTCTCCATATTTTGATTGAAGCAATTTTTTTTTTTTTTTTTTTTTTTTTTTTTTTAATATACTTCATGTTCTTCTGGTTGGGCTGATCAAAGGATTCCACTTTGGGAACCCCGGTTCTGCCAACCCCACCGCCGTGCAAATCCATCACGCATTTGGCCAGGCGGTGCTGAGCTTGGCTCAGCTTCTTGGGGCGATTGAGTTCTTTTTTGGCCTGGGGGGGGTGGCTTCCTGCAAGTGTCCCTCTGTCTTTGTTTGCCCGTTTTTGTTTGATTTTTTGTGTTTGTTTTTTTTTGGGGGGATTTGCGTGTTTCGTTTTTTGCTCTGTTTTTTTTGTCGTTTTCCAGTGTGTTTTCCTTTCTTCGAGCCATCCAAAAAGGGTTCCCCTCTGTTGTGATAGACCCATGCGCTTGGCGAGATAGAAGCGGCTCCACAACAACACGAAAAAGGGGCGGTCAACCTCGGTGTGGCGAACCGTGGGGAGTTTGTGTTATTTTGTGAGTGCGGACTTTTGGAAGGTGGGTGCTCGAGCTAGTTGTTAGGAGTTCACCAACATCCTGACTCCAAAGACTCATCCGCAAATATCCCCAGACGAGCCGAAGAACTCAACCCTTTTGTCCAATGGTTATCATTTAGAGAAAGCAAGAGTAACATTTGGAGAAAACAAGAGTAACAAATAAAATAAGGGGACAACAAAAAGGAAATAATATTAAAACATGTGGTAAAGAAAACGTGGTACAGCACACCCCGAAGTTGTCAACCTTGCTTTCTTCAGGGCCTTTGCCCCTTGTGCTCCCAATTCATCATCTCAATTGCAGGGCTTGGGATCTGCGGGCCTCGTTTTGTCTGCTCCGAACACCAGGCCTAGCTCCATTCGCATCTGAGTCGGTCACTAAGTGGTTGGTAGGTGCACCGCCCATTCTAGTCCATTTTAGCGGAGATTGGGATGTTCACTCGGGGTACGGGCTTTTGACTTGACCCATGGCCATTTGACGTTTGAAAACAAATCCGCACCCTTCTTGCAAGTGGATTGGGGCCTGTTTCAAGACGGTAAAGTGTGCCCTTTTGCCACTCTTCAGGAGTAGGTGGTTCCGCCTGATGTCGCGGGACGTATGGCAAGGGCCTAGATGTGTGTGTGTGTGTGTGTGTGTGTGTGTGTGTGTGTATTTTTGAGGGTGCCCCAAAACCGCGGCTTTCCCTTTACAACAAAAAAAAGGCACAAAAAGGGGGCAAAGACACGGCCAGATGCACTTGGCCAGGTGAAAACCGGCAAGTGCCTGACGTTCCTGGGCCCCATGGGTACGCACCCCCGCGGGCAAGGCGCATGCGACGTCCGAGGGTGTGGACGTTTTGTCAGCAATGGCTTTTTCAGCATGCTTGAACAGGTCAATCAAAACCCGGGTTTCACCATTTAACGATTTTCAAGATGGTTGAACCATCCTATATATATATATATATATTGGTTTGATGTGCATGTCGAGGGATTGGAGAATGAGGAGAACAACCTCGTTGTGTTTATGGTTTTTCCCCAGCAGCTGAAAGCTTTGGGGTCTTAGCCCAGATAGGCTCCGGGGTGGTCCGGGGCGACCCTGAGGTAAGGTTCCACGAGGGTTCCACGAGGGTTCCACGAGGGTAGGGTTCCACCAGGGTTCGACCAGGGTTCCACCAGGGTTCCACCAGGGTTCCACCAGGGTTCCACCAGGGTTCCACGAGGTTCTGCGAGGGCTGCAAAGTGGCGCAAGCACTAAAAAGAGCACATGCTGTTTGGGAGACCACCCTGAGCTTTTTTTTTTTTTCCAACTGTTTGCGCTCGGGATGCAATATGGAAGGGCTTGGGAGTGATTTGCCGGATTTTGTTCGCCTTCTCGGTGGTGCGACTGGATCACAACCAAAGCACACAAGCTTGGGGACACTCAGCAGATTTCTTTACGGCTATTGGGTGGCAGATCTTTGGACTTTGACTTTTTGGTTGAAGAAAGTTTGCGGATTTTCCCAAAAGGTGAACACTTTGTGCAGAGGGGTGAACTGCAGATTTGGTATCACCCTCAGCACACCAAGCTGATCTGCCTGCAGACTGAATGGCTGCGAAGCGACCTCCCTGGTTGCGACTTTGTCCCTGCTCAAAGTTCCTGGACGTTGAAAGAGTTCCGGGTAGACTAGATCTTGGTTTGAATCAACCAGATAAGACTCTTTGGGCAATCAATCCACTCAGGAAGTTGTTGAGGCCATTTGGTATGGTCAGATTTCTTCCGGGGATTTCCCAACATGTGAGCGAGAGGAGGTTCTATGCAAAGTCTAAGGTTTTGGTCGGTTGAGGCAGGGGCTCAAGTAGAGAACCCAGGGCATGGCTGATACCCTAAGGCAAGTGAGCATCTCGAAGACTTCCAGTGGGTCGCATTCGCTTCAGGCAAAGGGCTTTGCAACTCACGCGGTGCCCGACATTTGTGAACTCACTGTTGCTCTCCTTGGGCAAGGCAGTAAAATGAACAGACGGGTGCCCCCTAAAAGACGCACACTCGACACGAAGACAGGCAAGCCGTAACGAAGATAGGAGCCGTAAGACTCTTCAACCAGATGGGAGGCGCAAGAGTTCAATGCACTGGAGGAACAGCGACAAAGACTCAACTCAACAAAGAGCCAACGAAAACAGCCAACCAACAGCCAACTAAAAGACACGCAAGAGCCAGCCAATCAACCACCGCCAAACAAACCAGCAAACATCAAACACCAAACACCAGCCACCAGCCGGCTGCAGAAGCGGTAGCAGCCGTACTAGGTGCAGAATTTTGCCCTTATGATTCTTTACCTGTTTTTTTGGGGTCGCCTCTTTTGCGCGTTTGCGCCAGCTGCCGCGGCGCTGCTCCCCTGCGACATGCCGCTGGCAAACATGCGCATCCATCCCGAGGCGCGACGGAGCCTTGGTGCTCGCGATTTTGCTTCTTGCTTCGTGGTCTTTCTTGTATGCGAGGCGGGCTTGTTCCGTGTCAGGCTTCTTCTTATGAGCAGATCTCAGGTGCTTCTGGTTCCAAAGTAGTGGTTGGCACAGGAGGCTTGAACGCTTGATTTCCTACAAGCAAGCCATAAAGCACAGGCTCCAGGATTTTCCTTGCTTACTTGCAATAGTTTGTTTTTGGAAGTCACCCACAAAGTGACGGCGGTTTCTTAGCCACGGCCCCATTGACATTTCTTCTCAGCCATATCGGATGATGTGCTTTGCAGTTGCGCACTGTGGCGGATGATGGGTACTTGGTTTGAAATTATTGTGGTGTTCACATTTGTTTTGCTACGGTTGGTGCTCGCAACATGCTTCATCAACAGGCTTTGCATTCCGCTTAGCCAGGCCCTCATGGTAAGGCAAAAGCCAAAAGGGGACCTGCCATTTCGAGTAGTCCAAGCCCCTTCCAGTTTTCTGTGCAGAACAGAAATTCCACACCGCCAGACATGCGCGACAGGGCCAGAAGTGGCATGCTCGGAGCCTGATCTTAAGGGGGGGACGGTGGCCGGAGTCAGAAGTCTCATTTCACGGACGATTCTAAATGGGAGGGTATATCCCACCGACTAACACGGAGGTGCGCAGATGCCTGTAGAAAAAAATCTATTTTCTTCTTGGAAAGGGGCTTTGTGCACGTTAGTTGGTGGGAGGGTACAGCAAACCAAAGAGAAATCCCCCGGGCCTCTTTTGAGATCAAGTGCCAAGCCACCCAGGGGCTCTTGAAAACAACCCATTTTTGAAGGCCAAAACAAAACGGCAACCAATTTGGGCACCCAGGTGCAGGATTTTTGTCCACCCACGGTATGAATCCCCAGCTGGATCTGGTCCACCCACGAAATTGAATCCCTGGGCCTGTGAATCCGTGGCTTCGCCGGCCCCATCGATTCCGAACTCCCGCCTCCCCCCAGGGCGCCTGCGGACGAAAAACCCTTGGGGCATTTTCAGGCATGGGGTTGCTAAGAAACCAGCCACCGGAAATTCTACAGGAACCTTTTTGTTTGTTTGTTTTGGGGGGTATTTGGGCTTGCTTCGTGTCAAATTTCCTACAGCAACTTGCAAAGAGTCAGGGTGGAAGGCCTTCTCAGGTTTGAATTTCGGAGTTACTTATCCAGCAGCTCGTTTTCCAGTTGGTGGCAGGCATACTGCAACTCTGTGAGTGTGTGTGTGTGTGTGAGGTTTCTCTTTCGCAAACATCCAACAGAAATTCATGTCGGGAACCATATGTTTGGACAAGTCACCTCACCCAAACAGGAACACAACGCAAATGCACTGGGAGTATGCCTGCGATATAGAAGCTGCTCGGCCCCTTGATGCTTGATTCATTCCAGGTTTGCAATCTTCTATGCTTGTGGGTTTGTTTTTCCGCGGGTTCCCTTTGGTTTCCCTAAAAAGAAGAAGAACAAAAACCACGAGGTCAAAACGGTGCCAGACAAAAAGACACCGGTGGGTCCTACTTTTACGAACCAAGGAACCGGGACCCCTCCAGCGGCAAGTGCTGCTCCTCGATCGGGACCGGCTTCCGTCAATGTGCGCGCCCAACGCGGTATAAGAAAAGCCGGTCGGTTGGTCAAGGCGGGGGGCTGAATGTCTAGTGCGCTGCAATTCGTCTGCAAGACTTGAGAGATGGCACAAGGCCCCCCCTCCCCGAATTTTTACCAATTCCCCTGTCCCCAACCAGAGCTCCGACCGGCAGCTCCGAGTCCCGAGTCCGGCTCCCTCGAAGGCACAATTTGGAGACCCCCGGCTTTGAGTGCAGCTCCCTTCCAACCACCAGCCAGTTTGGCTCAGTCACCCCCCTGACATGGAGCCTACTTTTGCCCTGGTGCCTCACTCTCCCAAAGGATATAACTGCAGGACAACGAACAAGACACATTCTTAGAAGCTCGTCTTGCGGGACCCTGTTTGGAGTCCAATTGTGATTTGTCTGGGGCATTTACCAGTCAGAAAGTATCCATCAGGAAGCTTCAAACGGGAATGGGCAGAAAGTGCCAGAAGACCAACGGCTGTTGCTAGTACCTAAGGTATACTTGGGGAGAACGGGAAGGGGGCACGGAATCTCGATTTATCCCTTGTTTCTTTTTGTCACAATGGGGTGACTCGCTGAATCAACTATACTGGGGCTGCTGGTTGCTCCAATCATTAGATGTGCGACCTCAAAGCGGGCAACAAAAGCGAATATTTTGTTTCACGATTCCAAGGCCCAACCTCTGGACTTTTGTTCTTGGTGGTGCTCAGTAGGAAATGACCCAGTGAGGGATTCCCTTAAAGGAAGGCACACGCTTTGGGGCAAGCCTGATTCACTCTTTGAACTGCCCATGATTTTCAGCCTTGTCTTGCGAGACTTCACCCATTGAAGACGGAGCCGGGAGAGACTAAAGAATGCTTTGGCGGATCGCTCGTGGGATATTAAGTCCAACACGAATCGCCACCCCTGCTGAATGGGCCAGACAGCTGTTTTTTTTCTTCTTCGAGTGATGGCCATGATTCCAGCCCGTGCGTGCGAGTGTCAGACAACCTACAGCGGTTCTTCTGCAGCAGACACTAGCATCGCCATCGCTCCTTTTTTGAATACTTCCACTGGTTTCTGGGGCCAGAGGAAGAAACAAGGGAACCGTGAGGGCGCTGGAAACGCCGAAGGAGCTGGAACACCGACCAGTGCCTCTTGCAGCCGACCCAGGAGCCTCCATGAATGGGTTTTGTCTGGCGGAGGGTTGCAGGATGGCACATCCAAAACCCAGGGAGCTTCAGGTCGACCATTCCGATAGTGGTTCTCTTTCTTGGAGGGAGCAGATTCTGACAGAGAGGTGTCCTTTCGGAAAATAGATGGCGCTGGTGGATGCTTGAACCACCAGGGAAACCAGGGGCCTCTATTGTTTAACCAAGCCAACCAAAAAGGACACCTATTCCCTGACATGGCAAGTCATGCTTGAGATGAAGGTCGGGGAATTGCAATTGAACTGATTCCTTAGATACTGCGTGGACGAAATCCTGCACCACCCAAGAACCCTGGTTTCTGATGATTCTCCTGTAAATACCAACAAATACTACCATGGTGTCAAAGTGGTGCGAACTGGATTTCGCAACCACCAATAGTAGAGCTCTCCAGCTGGACATTGGCCGAAAAAGCTCGTCATCTTTCCTTGCTTCGCCACTCAGCAGAGCGGTCGAGTCACAAATTCACAATTTGTTTGTGTCGCGAACTGCCTTTCTATGTATTGATAATGGATTCCAGCAGCACTCCATGGTTTCCGCTACCCCCCAAACCAGTACCAAGGGAACTGTCTATTAATATTACTACTATTATTAGCAGTATTAACAGAATTAATATATTTATTCCATTTATTTAGCTATGTATTTGCTATGCTTTATTTATTTCTTTATTTCACTATTTATGTATTGATTTCTTATTTTCATTATTTATGTATTTAGTTTGTGTATTTATTAATTAGAATTATTTAATTATTTATTTATTTATGTATTTATTTGTTTCATTATGTATGTATTTATTTATGTACGTATGTATTTATTTATTTATTTCGTTATTTATTTATTTGTTTATTTATTTATTTATGTATTTAGTTCAATTTGTTCATTCATTTGTTGCAGATCGTGGTTGGTACGGTGGAAGCCAAAACAAACGCAAGGAACCAGCCATCAAGCCGTGGTTGATTTTGCAGGGTTTCTTTTGTTCCCTTGCAATATGGCAACCGCATCCACCTTATACAACTATTTGGTTTCTGGTGGCAACTAGGGGGTGTCCCTGGTTTTAGTGGGGATTCATGCCTTTTTGGAGGGGCCCCCACCCCCATGTGACTAAACCGGGGTTTCTTTTCCGGGGTCAACATCCTGAATTTTCTCGGAGTTCCACTGGTTCCCTCATTGTGTTTAAAGGGGCGCGAAGCGCGAGGAGGGCAGCGTGAGCACGGTGGTCTGCGACGTCTCGGGGCGCCAGGTGCCGCCCTGGCGCCTCTTGCCGGACGCCGCTCGGAGCGAAAGGGCGAGCTGGATGGTTTTTGTAGTCTGAGCCAGGGAGCGCGGCGGGGGGGGGGGGGGGGTTGGGTGTTGAAGGGGTGCTTGCTTGAAATGTTGAAAGGATGTTTTTCCTGGGGATGGGGATGTTACAATTCATTTTATACAAACGCCTTCATCACATTACTTTGAATGTGACGATTCAGTTTTTGAGTGAGCCTCAGTCAGGATTCAGGTTACTTTGATCAAAAGGCCTCGGTTTCTAGATCATGGTCGCTTCATTTGGGGAGAGAGAAGCAGAAGGATTTCGATGGATCCACGACAGCCCGAGTTTTGACCCTCGCGACCTGATCTGGCCGGTGAAGGAGGCGACCACATCAGGCATGTTCCAGTGGGTCACAGCCCAATCAAACGCCTGGGTAGATGAAGGCCATAAACAGGTGCGGAGTTCCGCCCTTTCAATTCTTTACATAGCTTTGGGTGGCCAGAGGGAGGCTTTCGGAGCCAGCGACCGGAGTTCTGGTTAGGGACATGGCAGTTTTCAGTACCCGTGTTGGGCGCTGCGCGCCTACGCTCAGGACGGCTCAGGACTGAATCTCGAGGGGTCGCGGTCGGTTTTGTCTCACGGAGAGCGGTGAGTGGTCTGAGAGGCTGCCCTTTCGTCCCGATGGGGCCCCCTCTGTCACCTGGCTGAGTGTTCCCTCCATTTCCCTTTCGAGGGAACCTCCAACCGTGGCTCGATCGTGGAAAGCACCAGCATTCTGTGATAGAAAACATCTGAGGGATTTTCTGTTGGACTCTGGGGTCTTTTTCTTCTTTTTTTGTGTTGGGGGGGTCCAACCCAAAACCCTCCCGCGAGAAATCTCTCGCCGTCGCCGATTTCCGCCAGGAGCCAAAGCGCAGCTGGCCTTTGGGAGCGGCAACCAGGCCATGCATCCCGTTTTTTTTTTCCCCTCGGGGGTGGTTCGCTCCGAACAACCTGGGGGGGGGGCGTTTTTTTTGGGGCTCGTCTTTTTTTTGGGAGTGCCAACTCTTGTATTGGGTCAAAGGGAGACCAGGAAAAAACCGTTTTGCAAGTTGACCCTAAAAAAAAGAGAGCCATGTGCAGGTATGGGTTTTGGAGTACAGAACCTTCATACCTCCAACCCCCCAAACCTGAAAATGCCCTGGTAGGTGTAAGTTGCCTCTTGGGAATCTGGAAACTTTCTTGGGGGTATTGGGAGGCGAAGTTTTGTAGTTTATGAGGGAAGGCGTGAGAGAACATTTGGCACCTGGCTCGTAGCACGTTTCTCGCCGTTTGGCTCGTGCAGGCGAAGTGCCTCATCGTTGACAAGAAGGGCGGGATGATGCAACTAGGCAGGGCCTGGGGATCTCTGGCATCGCGAGACGGGGCATGGCATGCATCAGTGAGCAACGTGGCAGCTGTCCACGTTAAAGCAGAACGGGAGAGGGGGAAAGTCAGCTGCAGACTCGCAAGGGATTTCCTGGGTCGGGGTCCCAGAGACCGGTGGTGCCAGGTAACTCAGCTTTGCCCAATATTTTTTCCCCATCGCCTGAGCGATCGCAGGACCCAGTTTGGAAGCCCCCAAGCTGAAGCTTGCCGCCTGGTGCAGCAGAGTGGGGATGGGACGCAGCAGGGTGAATTTGCCTATCACATTTGAGGACTCGAGGGAAGGAGTAAACATGGTACAGCATCCATCTTGAGAGTTCCCTCATTTTAGACCCTCCCAATGGGGTTGTTTCCCCCATGAGCGCATGCCTGAACAAGCACAGCTAAACAAAAACTCTTCCAACAGAAAGCTGCTCCTTTTTCTTCCCCGTTTCCCAGCGCCCTATACAACCTCCACAAATTGTTTGGGAGGCTCGACTCATCGCTTCCCCGTCCCTTCCGCACGTTTCGGCGCGCTTCCTTCCAGCGCCCGAGGCCGCGTGCAAAGGAACTGGGCGCTGGGAGAAGGTGGGGGCGGAGGAGCCCATGGAGACGCGGCTCTACCGGGAGGCGAGGGTGAAGACTCGAAGCCACCCCAGGCGGACCGGGCCCCCAAACACTTCCCCCCCCACCCCCCCAAGCAAAAAGCAAACTTTTGGGAAAGGCTACAAATAGACCACTTTTGAGAAAATTGTGTTTGGGGGGGGTCTGTTTGGGGGGGTCCTAGGAAAAGTTCTATCAACAATTCTTGTAGCAGTCCGTTGCTTGAAATGTTGTGTTCAGAAGGCAGGCAAGGGGCGGTGAGTCGGTGGTTTGGTTTTTTGTTGAGGACGCATGGATTGGAGAGAACGGGAGTTAGAGGTGCGGCGCCCAATCGGGAAAGATCCAAGTCTTCAGTCCAACTAGGTGCCGAGCATGGAAAAACCTCGGCGCATTTGCCGCCCCCAATCCCTTAACCTCCCCCCATGCCCAGGATTATTTTCCTTGCGAGCGCTCAAGTCCGCCTGTAAGTTAGGCTTCACCCTATCCGAAAGGGTCGGCAAAAGCACACACTTACTTAGCAAGCATGTTTCTTTCTCCGCCAACATGCGACTGCCACAAGTTTCAGGTTCCAAAAACCGTGTTGGCAGACGGATGTTTGAGGCGAAGCCACTTTTTGTTTTTCCGCCCTGGTTGTTGAGCTTTTCCGTAAGCGGAGCCTTTCTTTTTGTGAAGCCCCCCTTGCCAGGCTCAGGAGAAGCACGCGGCGCTGTTCACGGTCTGAGATCTCGGTCCTTGGATCGGCCTGAGCCCACTGAACCGACGGAAGTGGTCGGCCTCTGGTCGAAGAAAAAGAAGCTGCTCTAAACCAGTACCCCCCTGCAGGGCCTGCAGGGCCTGCAAGAGATGGTCCAGTGGTAGGTCCTTCCATGGCCCCTTGCGAGAGCGCGAGGCGTGCATGGCGAGGTGCGAAGAGCAGAGAAAGGCGGCGCTTGGGGACAGGTCTTGACAAGAACCGGCAGTGTGCCGCGGTGAAAACCCACTTTGCTTGTATAGGGATAGGAACCCTTACGAATTTAGACAATGGCAAGGATGTTTCTAGGAGGAGTCAATAGATTATGCCTCCTTCACGGATCTTTTGGGCCAGCAAGGGCACTGTTTGGGAGCCTGTCTCCCTTGAGCGAGGGATCCCACAGTTGGTTCCAACGTAAGCTTGGAACATGTGTAAAGCTCTCGGGTCAACGAGCGGCTGTCGGGCCTTACACTAAAACGCGAAAGCGGCACCGCTGAAAGCTATGCGTCTTTGCTCAGATGGGTCCGAGGTGATGATATCACCTGAGCTATTTGGGTGTGTCTTTTTTCTAGGATTCGCATCCCCCCCCCAAAAAAAAGATAGAACGACAATCCCCCCCAAAAGAAAGAGAAAGACAATCCTCCCCAAAAGAAAGAGAAAGAACATCCCCCCAAAAAGAGAAATAAAATCCCCCCCAAAAGAAAGAGAAATAAAATCCCCCCCAAAAGAAAGAGAAAGACAATCCCCCCCAAAAGAACGAGAAAGACAATCCCCCTCAAAAGAAAGAGAAAGACAATCCCCCCCCAAAAGAAAGAGAAAGAAAATCCCCCCCCAAAAGAAAGACAAAGACAATCCCCCCAAAAGAAAGAGAAAGAAAATCCCCCCTAAGAAAGAGAAAGACAATCCCCCCCAAAAGAAAGAGAAAGAAATCCCCCCAAAAGAAAGATTCGGAAAACGGCTTCGGTCTTCCTTTTGGTTCCCCGTTATAAAACCCGACCGAAAGCTTTTGGGTCCCCTCCAACAAGCCGAGACGCCCGTTTTCGATATATATTTTTCCCCCCGCGCCTGCCGGCGCCGAGGAGGTGCCCGAGGGGGTGCCGCTGAAGGCCGGCCGCCGGCACGTTTTTTTTCTCTTTCTTTTTTTTTTGGGGGGGGGGATGGCATAGGCATGATAGGATGGTTTACCACAGGAAAAGAGGTAGACATGCTTATGATTACCTCAGGATTTGCTTCCCAGCGTTGTATAGAAGGGCCCTGACCCAGGTACAAGCTGGGGTTCCCATCCCCAAGCCGCCCCATGTAGGTGATATTCTCGGTGAGTAGATTTTGCATTTTTAAACCGCCCATGAAGGTAAGGGGAGCAGATTTGTGCATGTTTCGCGAGTGGCGTGTTTTGCACCGGGGTAGATTGCTTTGGTGTTCCTTGGTTTGGAAGAAAAGCGCCTCAATCTTTCCAAGAGATTGAGTCCTGAGAGGACTCACACATCTGGAAGCAAAACTGCAAGATCTCAGGACTCCGTATGAAAGAGTACCCGTTGCAGGAACGCTCGCCACTCCCCAATCGCAGCAGTGCACGTTGCACAATCTTCTCTCCCTCTCACGAGTCAGATTCAAAAAGTCGAGGTAGTGAGGAAAAACGGATAACTTATGAGAGGGCAAAGCACCGGCTCAAGCACGAAGTTCAGCACGTTGTTGTTGGCTTGGGGCGCTGGTGCTTCCCGAGCGGAGATTTTGGACTCCTCATGCGGACCCTGAAATGGGGTTTCATTATGTCTGCGTTAGCCTTCTCCCCCACTTGGGCGCGCCAGGTTTCTGCGGCGCAAAAGGAACCCTTTTGTCTTCTGCAGCGGTGAACGTGTGCTTGCTTTCCGCTGCTTTGCAGTCAGCGCTGGGACTGTACCACATTGCAGCCCTGCCCAGACAGTTTCTCAACATGGCCCCCTCGGGCAACCAAAAAGGAAGCCATTGGGGACTTCCAGTTACCCTCATCCCACGTTGCCATGGCACGTGACAGCAATCTTCCAGCTACCCTCCCACAGATGCTATGCTTGCTAAAAAAATCCGGGGGGGGGGGGAAACCAACAACATCGAAGCACCACAGCAAAACAGAAAACATCGAGCACCGATCCATCCCATCGGTCGTCGCGTCGCATCGCGTCGAGCGATGCGCCAGGTAGTGCCGTCGCAGTGGCCGAGCATCGCCGCCGCGGTGGAGGCAGCCGAGGAGGGGGCGCTGATCCAAGTGCAGCCGGGGCGCCGAAGAGTCGGGCGAGTCGGGCGCCGGAGAGGTGGCCGGCGCATTCGGCGTGTGAGAGCGCCGCTTTGACCGGGGGGGGGGGGTTCGTCTTTTTTTGGGGGATCCCCGCCAAAAATGGCGCAATATTTTTTTCCATTTGATTTGCCCAAAAGGGGGGGGTTCCCCCAAACAAAGCCAAACTCACATGGTTGATTCACGGAATCACCACAGGCAGAAAGTCTTAAGTCTCATGCGTTCGCTAAAGTAGCGCTTTGGCACACACCTGCTGCCCTTCGGGTGGACAATTTCTTGTGCCTCTTTGTGACGGTGGGAAGCGTCAAACTGAAGTTGTGCTACTTAGCTTGGGGGTGGCACCTGGGAGGATGGTGTGTGTGTGTGTGTGTGTGTGTGTGTGTGCGCCAAACAACGGTCAATTTCGTGTCGGCTCTCTGTGAAAACCGCCCCGAGACCCGCGCTTGATCAAGACATACCACTACTTCTGGCTCAACATAGGCCACCCTTGCTGATCCTCGAACAGACCTTGCCAATTGGGCGAGAGGAGATGCGAACATCATAAACTTATGGATGCAAGTCGCCCGAAAAGCGAGCCACAAGTTTTTTTGCCCCCAGCCCTGCACAGTCGTTCACAACCTCCTTTTTGGCCGGGGAAGTCCCTCATGGAACGTTTTTTTTTTTTTTTTTTTGCTTCGTGGGAGTTTCCGTTTCGCCCACGTTTCGACTTGCAGGGAATCTGAAAACGGCCCCGGCGGCCGATCTTGTTTGGCTCAGCCTGGCAGCCGCGGCCTCTTGAGCACACGAGGCGGAAGCGAACACAGAGCGGGAGGTTTTGGCTCCGGACGTCCATGTTTGCTTGAAGATATTCTAAGTTTTTTCAGGTTTTAGATGGTCCGCGACTGGGCGAATATACATGTTGTTGCTTTATGCAAAGGATTTGGCGATATTTGTCTAGTTTGATTCGCTGGTTGGCTGGTTGGCTGGTTGGCTGGTTGGCTGGTGAACTGCTTAAGAGGTCTTTAGCCAAGTCAGCCCCAAAGTGCAACATGGATCTCCAACCGATTCACTAGGATGGATCAGAAATCGGTCCATGTGACTAACAATGTGTAAAACAGCTTCACCCGCAACCTCTTGAAGGAAGACGCGTCGGGTGACGCGAGCCGATTTTTGCGCACGGCCGCATGTCATACCGTTTTGGACTGGCTCCACTAGAAGTCCCGCGCGTCCAACATGCCAGGGACGCATTGATATTGCCCCCTAATGGCTAGGAGCGACTGCAGATGCTGAGAAAGTTTACACCTTTTGGTGCGGACAAGAGCTGCCACTAGTTGACCTTTGCTTCTTAGCCGAAGCAACTGAATGTTTTGCATCATTCTATTGACCAACACCCTACAGGCATCTGGGTCCTTTTAGCTTGCCTTCCTTAAGGACCCGCAAAATGGTCTTCTTTCCAGGATGCGGACCCCCCAAAACGGCTTGGGTTCTCCTGTTGGTTTCCCTCTAAAACTACCAAGAAAGGGAAGGGGTAGAGAAAGAAGAAGTTGGTTTCCCTCTAAAACTACAAACAAAAGAGAGGGGTACCTTCAGAAAAAAAAGAAAACGCTCCCCCTTTCTCCTTTCCCCCCCCACCCCCCCAACAAAAAAAGAAAAGCAAAGGAAGGGAACGTTGTTGGCCCTCGAGGCGCGGCGATGGAGGGGTTGCCCCCGACGGAGTCCCAGTCGTCTTCATCCACCAAGTGGCCGAGCAACGCAGATGGCGCCTTCGGCAGCAGCGAGCGAGCGATGGCAAGAGTTGACCAAACCAGGTCACTTAAAGTCGATCAAAAGGTCCGTGATACATGGGATGACCATTGGTTGGAGAACCACGAAAAGGATCACGTTTCCCACTAGGTGGGACAAGTTGCGGGTCATTTTGGGGCAACAGTAACACAAGACCCAGCAGTATCAACTGAACGTCTCGAAACAGATCAGTGCACTCCAAACGTGCAGCTCTAAAAATAACACGGAGGATGCCCCTACTTGCAATGTGGGACGATTTTTCAGCCCCACATGTTACATGTAACTGTGTTCATACGAATGGATGATACAAATACGAAGCGATTGGGGCATTGCTCCATGAAGATGTAGCAGCACTTTCAGTCAACAACTCAGCCAACATTGTAAAAAGGGATGCCGGCGGACAAGGATTGCCAAATGTTATCATCCAAGCCTGGTGAGTTGACTGGCCAGAAAAAATGAACTTTCTGAGCCTTGAATAAAATGATGGAGACACCTCCAAACAACGACGCCCTAACTTTTGAGACCTGCGCGTGCTATCAAACCTTGATGGAGGTTGTCAGTATATGGATCGAACAAGAAAAACACCTTGGCAAGAGCTTCAGCGCTCCACAAACCACACCACCGCGAACACCATAGCGGTTGTCATGCGACGTCGAAATGGGCACCTCTTTAGATTCTTCCAACAAATGCATTCTGCAGAGACAATTTCGCGTTTCAAGGGAGAAAGTGGGGGTTGATCAACGCGACTGTTCAATACGTTTATTCTTCTTTTTTGAGGAAGACTATGTACTGTGTGCACCCCAACAAATCGCTGGTTTTCCCGTTATTTCGTTAGAAGGACAAGCCATCAAAGGCTCCAATTCATTTGGACCACTCGTGCCTTGAATTGTTGAGGTGAGGCAGGTACAGGTCCTCGCAACGCACCCCCTCAAATTGGGTCGCACTCGCCGGGCCAAACTGCCGAGGCTACACGCTGCTGAATCGCATCGGCCATGGCGCTTTCGCGACAGTCTACAAAG